TACCTCCGGTCTGAGAGCATAATTCGGCTGGATGGCTTGTCAGACGTCAGCTCAAACGAAACTTGCGTAGACAAACAGGTGTATTGGAACTAGGATATTCAATAGATAAAGGTCGGCGCAAAAGAGTTTATCGGAGGTAACAGCGGAGACCTAACAAACAATAGATACCAACGTCCGGACGACTGGGGAGAGTATTTGCATGGGTTCGGTTGACAATGAGCTTCTGTAACCGTGCCCTTATTCGGCCTGCTGGACGTGAGTCACGGTCTGAGTTTAGATCTCAGTTAACGCTTTTGGGCTACCGAGCAAGACGAGCATCCACTGGCTTTATATGAAGTCGACAATGAACGTTTTCGTTCTCGATCTTTCAGCTGTAGCACTTTTTCGGTGCCTAGCTGCCATGCCACGCGAAGGTTGCATGAGGGCTGGGATACTCCCAGGTCGCCCAAGCCTAGGCAGGTTTTGGGCAACCTACTCTAATCTAACTAGACTGTGTGAACCTGTCCCGAAACAAGGACGCGTTCTACACAACTTGAATCAATCAATTACCATATCTAGCTGCAGTTCAACCGGAAAGAAGGACGGAATTCTGGACACTGCCATAATTCCCAACTCTAAACTGAGTTAACTGAAAAGTGAGGGATAGATTCGAATAGTGCAGCCCTCGGTCAACAGCTGTGTTGTAACCTCTGAGCCATTTCGAACTGATTTGGTAAGCGGTTCGCAGGAAGACATTTGCCCATTGATACACAAAAATGAAAGCATCTTTTAACAAGGAAATCTCTAGTGTGGGTGGTGGTGGTGGTGGTCTCCACAGTAACTGCTGGGCAGTCTAAAAGGAACTAAGACTCAGTGAAGTGCGAGATGTCAGGTGACTGCAATCCTCACGTCACATCAAGTGATCATTTGTTCCAACAAGTGGGTCGGTCAGTAAACAAGATCTGCTTGTCCATCGAGACGTACCTCCTATGAAACACCTTCATTGAGCGCGACTGCACCTGCAATGTAGTGCGACGGCTAGAGCAGCTCGGCTTCCAAACTACCGGAGCTGTTTAGTTACAGCTAATCACGATATGAATAGCGGTGTCAGATGGCAAGACAACTCATGGCTTATGGGATTTATGCATGGATGACCACAGTAAACGTAAGTTTTGGAGATAACAGAGAAGTCAACAAATAATTGATGACAGAGTATGGTGGCGTAACGCCAGATCATCTTGGGCTGAAATCTCTAGGCTGATGGTTTTCTCCGATGGCAAAGATGCACTCTTTGTCATAATATCCCAATGATATTATAATTTACGATGAACTGCAAAGCAGGTTTTCCATAATTGGAGGGATTTGGCATGACTGTTGTCTATCACTCTTGTCGTTCAATGTTGCCACTGATGCAATAATGGGGTATACATTACAGGGCTTGGATTGACTGAATTGGAAGGAGGGTGCGAGAGATAACGATGTTGGGTATACTTGATAAGCTCCATCCTCCAGGATGGTATTCCCATGACCGCGCCTGATTGTTGACGAGGCGAAATACGGCGGCTAACCGACTTCATTGGGATTAGTTCTGCCAGCTCCCTTCCTGGTTGTCTACTTGAGCGTTTAGTGGTTTGGGCAAAGCTAACATGGTATGTCAGCACCAGGTCCTATGACAACAACCCCCCCTTGTTACTTTACGGCCTTAAATACGAGTAAATAAACCATGTGGTTGTACAACACTGAAACATCAATTTCGACACTGACGGTGATGTGAAGGCGAGTACTCGGGAACGTATCGAAATCACTGGAGTAGAAAATGAAGTTTGACTAACCAAGGTGATTTGGGACATGTACTATGCATGTCAAACCACCATTTACCAACGAAGCTACTGTTACCTACCCTAAACCAATGGTAAATGATTTCGAGAGGACAGAGCGCAACATGGTCATGCAAAACGAAAGCAGCTGTAGCCAAACTGGATGCCCAGATTTTCGCGCTTTCCTGGCTAATTTATGCGTAATCATCGTGAATGTGGTTAGGACCCAAACAGGACACACCACCTAACCAGTCCCAGTGGCAACCATGCTGAGTGCAACGCGGCCAGAGTCTGCTTGTCCTCGTAGACCTCGAGAGATGAGATCTGCAAAGGAAGGGTGGTTCAATTCAACTGGTGCTTTACTCCAGCAAGGCACTTAGACGTGCTTATCTCATTGCTGTTCCAGTGTGATCGGTTTCCCTTGGAAAGTAGGGCCTTTTGTCAAGTGTATACCCTTTCCCTTTCGTCCACACTCTTAAAAGAGCATCCGACCTCCGTGGTACTGTGTCGGTTACGCGCCAACAATTGCCGCTGCTGAGTTCTGGTCGATGGTGACGTTCATGATCCAGGAGCGTATCGACCATAAAATGAATCGGAAAAAGAGGGCAGTAGCGCTTAGCATTGCTTGTCCTACATCTTCCCTACACGTCTTCGAGTGGAGTTAGACGAAACCAATCAGCTCGACCATTGTAAGACTACGTCTTGCCGTGGGGCAGAAACCTTGGTAAAATGCGATTTACATTATACCCTTATACACGTAAAGTTGGAAATTTGCGTCACCGCCAGGACCTACAGAATGGGTCAACATGATCCGCCTTGGAGTCTTCAAAAAGTGTCACCAACTTTCGTTGCGATCACCAGCCAGCTGACTACCAATCTGCCACTTCCCAATATCTGTCCGTTGACGTGCATACAATAAGCTCGGATTCACATAACAACACCACACAGACTAGAAGGATGATCCGTCCTCGCGATAGACTACATAGGCAAATTCGGCGAACACCACTTTTCGCCCGTCCGGGAAAGATCCTAGGGAATACTGGTCAATAACGACATGCAGAATGGATGGTCCGGAGGCCAACCGTCCCTAGTAACCGAACATCACACCATTTGGACGGATGTGTCACGTGCAGGACACGGATCAAACGGAGGCATGCCCTGATTGGTTAGTGCCAGCCAATCCGGATCGAGCATCTTTGACTCGACGCTTCTCGCCCCCTTACGGAACATTCTGTGATGACCCTATAAATACAGTTGTAATAATTTTCCCTTGTCTCCATAAAGGGTTGTGTTGTGTGTGTCATTTGTGGGCGGAGCAGGAAGCCAAGGGACCGATACAGAGTTGCACTACCGTTCAGCAAGTTACAACCGACAATCGCAAATGTCGGTGATCGGTCACATATTTTCCGGCTGACCCGTCCGCCTCAGACTAATGGCAAGGCCAACAGCACAGTAGTAGAGACGCTGACGGCCAACTAATAATATAGTATGAGAATAAGCTCAAGGGATGGACTGAACACTTCAGCTTACTGTTCAACGGCCCCTCAAAATAACAATTACCCACCACAGACACCACAACCTCCAAGCCATACACCCCGAGACAACAAAGCTAGTAAACAGCAAGAAGTCTCCAGGTGAAGACAGTGTCCACGTGGAAAACTACCAAGCCTGTTTGTCCGCAGTTCTTGAACTCCTTCAAAAACCGACATGCTCAACATAGAATATCGACGCACTAATACTACTAATACTACTACTACATAAGATAGCTGCAGAACGCTTTGTAAGAACTCCCGGGGTATCATCCTGATATTGGGGGAAGGGAGCGAGATGGCTCAAGTGGTTAGAGCGCTAATTTATTGACCTGAAGGTCCGTGGTTCGAACCCGACCTCTGTCCCTCGACTTTCCATGTCTAGACTTGGGCAACCTGGTGGTATCCCAGCCTTCGTGCTTCTTCGGGTGTTGAAGTTGAGCGATTTTTTATTTATCTTGACATGGAGTGCAGCCTTTACCATACTACTGCTGTGCCGGGTGAAGGAAGCGATGAAGGTGTGGAGGGAAACCTCCGTAAACTGGGAAGTTGCGTTGACCAAATGTTCACACTACACCGTGTTTCGGAATACCGCTACGAGTTCCAACGACCAATCACCACTTAGTTCATTGAGTTCTGTGCAGCATTTGACTCAGTCAATAGAGTCTGTTTCGAAAGCTGATGACGTGCTAGATAGATAAGCTATTGAACCTCATCAGGTCTAAAAGCCTACATCCGAATATTTTGGGAATAGACCAAGGCAACTAAACCCTTGTGTTCAGCAAATTTTCCTGCCTTCATCGATGCTTTTGAATATCGTGACTGACTAAATAACGTCGCATGTCATCAGTAGCTATTTTGGAGTA